CTCTGTCTCCTGGGTTCAAGCTATTCTCCTGCCTCAGCCTTCCAAGTAGCTGGGATTACAGGTGCTCACCACCACACCTGGCTAATTTTGTATCTTTAGTAGAGAAGGGGTTTCACCATGTTGGCTAGGCTGGTCTCAAATTCCTGACCTCAGATGATCTACCCACCTCAGCCACCCAAAGCGCTGAGATTACAGGCATAAGCCACCACACCCGGCCTGGAGAGATACAAATATATTCATATCATAGCCCCTTCCATGTCGCTTTGGCAATGGCTTCTCCCATCCACATTTTCATGCTGGAATTCCTTGAAACAATCAGCACAACTTCTTCTTGAATGAGCAGTTTTAGTTTCTATTTTTATACTGAACTATTTAATTCCTTTCTTTCCCATGTGTATTAGTCAAGGAAAGAGAAAGAGAACCAATAGGAAGGATGGATAGATAGATGATAAATATACATATACATACAGAGGAGCTATTAGAAGAATTAGCTCCTGTGGTTATGGGGACCGAGAAGTCCCATGACAGGCTGTCTGCGAACTGGAGAAGCAGGGAAGCTGGCAGTGGAGCCCAGGCCAAGTGCAAAGGCCTGAGAATCAAGGAAGCCAGTGGTATTGGTCTGAGGCTGAAAACCTGAGAACCTGGGGTGCTGCTGGTGCAAGTCCCAGAGTCCCAAAGCTGGACAACCTGGGGTTCGGATGTCCACGGACAGAAGAAGACAAATGCTCCAGCTCCAGGAGAGTAAATTTGCCTTTCCTCTTTCTTTTTGGTCTATCTGGGCTCTCAGCCAATTGCAAAGTACCTATTCACTTTGAGTGAGGCCTATCTTTCTATTCAGCCCACTGATTCAAATGCAAATCTCTTCTGGAAACACCCTCAGAGGCATACCCAAAAATAATGCTTCACCAGCCATCTGGGCATCCCTTAGCCCACTCAGGTTGACGCACATCCCTCAGCATTCTACATCAGATTTGTTAAAATTTCTGACACCAAAGGGCCTATGGTTTCTATCTTTACCTTTTCTCCCCACCGTAAGTCTTCTTTATGGTTCCATTTCTTGGTAATCTGAACTTATTTGCATTCTTAATCTCATGTGAAGCAATACTTAAGAACTAGCAATTTCAGTTTCTATAATTGCACAGCTTCAGCTCCTGTGAATCTGAGGCCAGCAAACTTGACAAATAACATAAAATAAAAAACAGAAAGAAAAAATATTCAGTTCTTTCAAATAATCTCCAGATTCAAGAACCGAGATTGAGGGTCAGATGCAGTGGCTCATGCCTATAATCCCAGCATATTGGGAGGCCAAGGCAGGTGGATCACTTGAGGTCAAGAGTTTGAGACCAGACTAGCCTACATGACAAAACCTTGCCTCCACTAAGAATATAAAAATTAGCCAGGCGTGATGACACATGCCCATAATTCCAGCAACGTAGGAAACCAAGATGGGAGAATCTCTTGAATCTGGGAGGCAGAAGTTGCAGTGAGATTGTGCAGAGATTGCTGAGATTGATTGAGCTGAGACTGTGCCACTGCACTCCAGCCAGGGCAACAGAGTGAGACCTTGTTTCAAAAAAAAAAAAAAAAAAAGAGCTGAGTTTTAATTTCTATATTTTTTGTCTACTATTAACCTTTGCCTTCCTCTAGGCATTTTTTCCACAGTAATTTTTTTTTTTTTTTGAAACAATGTCTCACTCTGTTGCCCAGGCTGGCGTGCAGTGGCATGAATCTCAGCTCACAGCAACCTCCGCCTCCATGGTTCAAGCAATTCTCCTGTCTCAGCCTCCCGAGTAGCTGGGACTACAGGTACATGCTACCCAGCTAATTTTTGTATTTTTAATAGAGACAGCGTTTCACCATATTGGTCAGGCTGGTCTCAAACTCCTGAACTCAGGTGATCCACCGCCTCAGCCTCCCAGAATACATATTTAATTCAATGTAGTTTACATGAAACAGTTAATATAAGGGCCAACAGTGAATGTTTTGCTGTTTGGTATTTCAGAAAATACTTGTGTAAGTACCCATATCTCCCCTCCAACTCAGTGTGACTCCTTCCCAAGCTTAAGCTATTTTTCTTGTTCCTCTGACTTCCATCAGATGCCTTGTGCCACGGTTCAGATGCAGGTCTTAAAACATATCTCTAAATTAAAGATAGTAGTTGACTGTAAACATAACAAGAGATTTCTTTGTTTTTGTGATATACTTAAGCATATAGAGAAGAATTACCTAATTTATGCTGACTGCAAGGTACCAAAGCAGGTAAAATACAAAACAGTCAAGTTGATCACTTAGTGTTGTATGGATGCACAATAGCTTACTTAGCTGAATTCAAGTCTTCTTTTTTTTAATCTATAACTTATCTGAGTGAAAAAGACAGTAGTCTAGTAGCATTCTTCAGGTAGAGGTGAAACCAGATGACAGAAAGCTCAGCTTTTTTAGCCATGGCGTTTCTTTCTTTTTTCTTTGTTTCCTTTGAGACAGAGTCTCACTCTGTCACCTAGGCTGGAATGCATGGGTGCAATCACAGCTAACTGTAGCCTCAATCTCCAGGGCTCAAGTGATCCTCCCATCCGAGCCTCCTGAGTATCAGGCTGGGACTACAGGTGTGTGCCACCATAGCTGGCCAATTTTTTAATTTTTTTGTAGAGATGGTTTCTTGCTATGTTGCCCTAGCTGGTCTTGAACTCCTGGACTCAAGTGATCCACCCACCTCTGCCTCCCAAAGTACTGGGATTACAGGTGTGAGCCCTTGCACTTAGCCTAGCCTTGGCTTTTCACAAGGGTGGCAACCCCTCCTTAGAGAGCAGAACTATGCCAAAGATCTCTGCTGCTTCCAATATAGATTTTCAACAATTTCAGATTCACATAAGAATGTAGTTACTGTTTAGGAGAAGCCAGTTTTCATGGAGGAAACTGCATTTGTGATCCTAACGATTTTCTTTAAACAGGCCCAGTCCTGCCACACAGCATCATTTCCTCCTCACCTGCAGAATCACTGTGATTTATGGTTCCTCTGATTGCACCTGCTTTCACCAGCAGCCCTGGAAGAGAGCTCTTCTGCATGGATGAGACTTGAGAGATCATGGTTTCATTACTTATTTAAATGGGACCCTCTCAAAAGAATGTAAGCACATGATCAGGTGGCACTGCACTGTGAGATGAAAAGGAATCCAGCTGTTACCAGAAATGGGTGCCGGCCAGGTTTGTCCACCAAATTCTTTTCACTTGATGTCATGAAAATAAAATTTGAGTTTTAAAATTAGAATTTCTCAAATTGATATGAATTTGTTTTATTGATCTTATTAATATAGCCAGTTAACAATTCTATCATACAAGGAAATGAGAATAATACAAAGCCAAAATAAGGGTAAGGGCCTGGCACAGTGGCTCACTCCTGGAATCCCAGCACCTTGGGAGGTCGAGGCAGGCAGATCACTTGAGGGCAGGAGTTTGAGACCATTCTGCCCAACACAGTGAAATCCTGTCTCTACTAAAAATACAACAACAAAATTGGCCGGGCATGGTGGCAGGTGCCTATAATCCCAGCTACTCAAGAGGCTGAGGCAGGACTGAACTTGGGAGGCGTAGGCTGCAGTGAGCCGAGATCACGCCATTGCACTCCAGCCTGGGTGTCAGAGCAAGTCTCCATCTCAAAAATTAAATAAATAATAAAGGTAGAGGCTTCTTAATTCTTTTGGTCAGGTAGCCTCATATTAATCAGCATAAAGGACACAAAGTAGACTTCAAACACTTAATTTGAAGAGTTCTTTCCATTTAAATCTCCTTTGTTTATTTTATGGACCACCTTCTTTGTGCATTTCATTTCCTACCTTTGATTTAAAAAAAAAAAGGTGAAAAGCCTCATATTTCAACAAGCATATACTGATTGACTACATCAAGGCAGCCTGCCTGCCTATTACCTTTAGACCCCCACAAGAGCACTGTGAAGAAATGCACTCAGGTTAACTCACTCATGCAGGATCACAGTGCTCAAAAGTGGCTGAGCAAGGATTAGAACCTCTATTTTCTCCTTCCAAGTTCACAGTCTGTTCTATTAAATCTTAATCTTTTTTAAGATACCCTGTAAATACACAGAACATACTTAGAAGACCATGAGTCTCCTTTGACTTGTGGTTCAGGGTCCAGTTGGGGGAAAGTAATACCTACTATCTCCTGGAGACAGCCTCTCTTTCTTGAGTCCCTATCACTTATGCCCATGTAAATCTCTCCTGGATACTTTAGTAAAGCCGTTAAAATAGGAGAGATTTTAGGGCTATTGCCTGGCATTGCCCAACTGCCCACAGTCCCCCAGTCAGCACTTATTGGGCTGAATTCCCACTTCATGTCCTCTGCTCAATCCTTTCCTATTTCATCAATAAATTGCCCTAACTCAGTTATACTAACATGTAATGTGAGCAAATGCCAACAGTTAATTAGGGATGAGCCTGTGAAAACTTGGGGGAAGCTACATGTTTCGGTTATATTAATGAACACGCAAATGCAATCAAATCAAATGGATAAGCATTGTGTCAAGTTTTTACAAGAAGAGAATTGCATTTCACATGCATGAAAGCAACTCTCTTGTAACTTACAGAAGACGAGATTAAAAATAAGCACATAGGAGAACCATTAAAATACTTATTATTTGAGTCAAATTAGAATTCTGAGGATAGTTTCATCAAATGATTCATGTTATTTTAATTTCCTTTCACAATCAGATTCAAATTACTCTACCTGCAGGTAATATGTTTAAGCAGATGCTCCCTTAACATCAAATCCCATTTTTTGTAACATTCATCATTGAGTTTTCAAAGGTGTAATATCAACTTGAAGATAGCCACTAAATATCTTCTGATTTTTAAAGTTATCAACTCCTTCACATAACATTTCATAGATGTTGATCTTAAAGAAAAAGGGGGTAAAAAAAGGAAAGATCTCTCAGAGGCTACAGCTTTATGTCTCAAAATATTTTATATTTAACAGCTGTCCTGGGAATTGAAAAAGATAATGCTAGACTCAGCTGAAATTCAATACCTGTTCTGTAAAGTGTGCTAACTGCAGTGTGGAGTTCTGACACTCACAGTCCGCCTGCAATTCTAGTTCTTCAGCACTAAGAAATCGCTCATGGAGAAGGAACTGCTTCATGAATTCAATTTTATCGTCCATCCATAAGTAGCTGTATTTCTCCAAGTAGCTTTGACACTTGTGAGCATTAATGGTGACTGATTGCACCCTGCTCAGGATTTCCTGGTGCATTTCCTCTGGCACATCTATCCGAACCATGTTCTTTCCTAATGGAAAAATAAAATGGAAAAAAGTAAGTGGAGCCAGTGATTTTATTTAAAACCATGAAGCATTAGAGGTGGACTACTTCAAGCCAGACTGCTGCCACCCGAAACCCAAACAGTACCCCCATTAAGGTAAAAGATAATTGGCACCCCATTAAGTTTGAGAGTTTATTTTATAAAGAGTTCTCAGCATGCTGTATGTTAACTAAGTCTTTGTAAAGAGAGTCATACTCTAAGTACAATAGAGGATCTTGTTATTTAAGGGAATACATTATGAATCACTTGGTAAAGTAGAGAATTCTTTTGGAAAGTGAAAAGTCACCAATTTACTTTATCTTTCATAGACTATGTTGGTTTTCTCAAGACCAGAAAAATATTCAACTGAGTCTCTGTATAAGTGGAAAGTGGATTTTTTCACCATGAATATTCATGAACAAGCAGAATTAGACATCGATCATTGATCAACAGAAAAGATGAAGATTTCCCTCTGACAGCGTCATCTCTTTACCACCTACGGAGCTCAAAGAAGGCAAAAGGACCCCGTTGCCACTGTTTTCAAAGACCTCTCTGATGCCTTTACTGCAAGCACTTCTGCCTTCAAGCAGCCAGGAGACTAATTTTAGGAGGTGAAGCCAAATGAGAGGTGATTGCTCATGGGTGCGTTGACCATGGGATCATTGCCTTCTAGTTCATACATTTTCTCTGGCTAGATGCATACCAAACCAACCAATGCCTATGGTCAACGTGTGTGATTTGGGTCTCCATTTTTGGTTCAACATTATGTCAACTTTATAAAATAAATTGCGAGAAAAAAATTATAAGAGAGACTCAAGTATGTTCCAGGAAAATATGCCATTTACCCTAGAGGTTGAAATATAATCAATTATTCAAAACTTGCATGCTATATATGCGAGACACTGTGCCAGACTCTTTGGAGATTGTTTTTAAAAATGAGACCAGGTGTGGTGGCTCATGCCTGTAATTCCAGCAATTTGGGAGGCTGATGGGGGAGGATCACTTGAGTCTGGGTGACACAGTGAGACCTCATCATCACAAAAAAAAATCAAAAAATTAGCTGGGTATGAGGATGCACACCTATGGTCCCAGCTACTCAGGAGGCTGAGGTGGGAGGATTGTTTGAGCCCAGGAGGATAAGACTGCAGTGCAGTGAGCTATGATTGTGATTATACCATTACGCTCCAGCCTGAGTGACAGAGTAAGACCCTGTCTCAACAAAAGAAAAGTTAAGGAAAATTAGAAAGGTTCAAATGGCATGGTGAAAATGTAAAAGACAGAGATAACCTTCAACTAGTGAGGTATGGAAAGAAAGCAGGTGGCTTCATGGAGAAGGCAACATTTTAAAAAGGGATAGTGTTTGGACATGTGAACATGAAGGAATATAAACATGAATGTAAATTATACCCCAAGGGTTTTATAGAGTACTTTTATACGTATTATTTCATTAGATCCTTACCTCACTCCCATGAAAAATTTGGGCGATGTGGCCAAGACTGGCTAGATTCCCCTATTCCACTATTTTTCTTCCTTGTCCTGGGTTGTAGCCATGTTAATCTGGTCAATGGGATACGGAGAGTAGCGAAAGATGCCACTTTCAAACCTTGTCAGCAAATGCTATGTGATCCTCCACTCTTCCTCATTAGTACCAGCCAACCTAATGCAAAGAGTCCAGCACCAGAGAATTACAAGTAGACCTTGCAATATTGCCTCACCACACATGAAATGTACCCAGGAACCCTAAGGTACCGCTAACAGTAGACTTCCTCCCTTACCACACACACACAGACTTGCTCCCCCTGACAACTTTAGGAAACAAATCTCTATTGTGTTAAGGAAACAGGATTTGGGAGGAGTTGGCTATAGTACCAGCAGTAAGTACCCTAATTGATAGATGAATTTCACTTTATACGTGAGAAAAAGGAGGCTCGCAGAGCAAAGAGCATGCACAACAACACGAAAGAAGGAAAGTGGCCAACGCCGTTGTTCACGCCTGTAATCCCAGCACTTTTGCTGAGGCAGGTAGATCGCCTGAGCCCCAGGAGCTTGAGACCAGACTGGGCAACATAACAAGACCCATCTCTACTAAAAATACAACAACTAGCATGGCGTGGTGCTGTGCACCTAAGGCTGAGGTGGGAGGATCCCTTGAGCCTGGGATGTGGAGGCTGCAGTGAGCCAAGATTGCACCACTGCACTGCAGCCTTGAGACAGAGTGAGACTGCCTCAAAGAAAAGGAAGAAAAAGACAGAGAAAAAAAGAAAAGAGAGGAAAGAAACAAAAAAGAGAGAAAGAGAAAGAAGAAAGAGAGAGAAAGAAAGAAAGAAAGAAAGAAAGAAAGAAAGAAAGAAAGAAAGAAAGAAAGAAAGAAAGAAAAAAGGAAGGAAGGAAGGAAGGAAGGAAGGAAGGAAGGAAGGAAGGAAGGAAGGAAGGAAGGAAGGAAGGAAGGAAGGAGGGAGGGAGGGAAGGAAGGAAGGAAGGAAGGGAGAAAGCAAGTGACCGAGAGGTAAGAGGGAGGGAGGGAAAGAGAGAGAGAGAAGGAAAATGGGAAAGCATGGTACTAAAGCAGACAGTACAAGTTTGGAGCCTTCATACTTGTTTTCCAGCCTCCTCCCTATGCCTCTGCTGGGCTGCCTTCCATACCATGTTCCATGACCCATCACGCCATGCCCACTATGTGTCACTAAGTGTCACGCTATGACACTTCTGCTCACACAGTTCTCTCCTTCTGGAATTCCTGTTCCTTCATTCTGCGTTTTTCAAACATCCACTAATTTTTCAAAGTCCAGTGTAAAAGTGGCCTCCTTAGTTGGACTCAACAGCACCCTTCGTACTGTGATGACTGTGATGTGATGTGGCAGAAATAGGAAAGGGCTGGGATCCAGAAGGGAAAGGCATAGACGTGGACTTCACTTCTGACTAGCATGACCCTAAGCAAATGGCCTCAACTTTCTGAGTCTTCTTCCGCTTCTATAAAATGGATTTAACCATCATTATTTCACAGGACCATTGTGAAGACAAAGTGAGATGAAGAATGAAAAAGTAACCCTGGAACAGAAAATGTGAAATAAATATTTGTTCCACCTATTCTACGGCCCTTCATTGTTCTACTCACTCTTAACTGTGAACTCCAGAAGAGCAGGAGCCACACTGCATTCATCTTGATAGTCTGCACCTAATACTTAGTAGGTATTTTAGTTAAAATTAGGTAAAGCTGCATTTGGCCAAACCAAACTAACTAAGAAGACCTTAAATCCACAAAGTTTTTATCTCTCCCATAAAAATCCAGGGACTATTAAGAATCCAGGGCTGCTTGGACAGTTCCGGAGATGAGCCAGGATCCCACACTCCTTCCAGCTTTAGCACCTGCCGCCCTAAGGATGTGGCCCTCGTTAGCATTGTCTAAGATGGCAGATGGGGCTCTAGGCAACATACTTGGATTCCAGGTAGTACAAAGAAGGAGGAAGGCAGGGCTCTTCCCTGAAAGACACTGGGCGAAGTTGTGCAGCCACTTCTGCATACATACCTTTGGCCAAAACTCGGTTGTATGGTCCCCTCCAGCTGCATGGGAGGCTGGAAAGTGTAGTCTTCAGTCTGTACCTCCATATATCTAATTTGTATTCAAAGTCCTCTTACTGAGGAAGAAGACAGAATTTGATACTGAGGGACAATGGGTGATATCTGTGCTATTACACACATGACTATGCTTGGGTAAGTTGGTTCTGGCAGGGGTGTGGAGAAGGAATCAAGAGGCAAAAGCTGAAAGCCAAGAGGAGCATTGGAACACTCCAGTAACACTGAAAAGAGCTCCTCTCCCTGAGTGAGTACTGCACGCCACACCCCGTGGGGTGCACCTTACCCACACCAGCTCGTTTGCCACTTCAGCCTCTTAAAGCACACTGGAGTTCAGATTTTAGCAGAACGTTTATTCTAACTTGGGATTGTTAGGTGACTTAAAATGGCTGTTGTTACATCTCATGATTTTGTGGATTGGAAATATGGGCTGGGCTCAGCTGGGTGAGTCTTCTTTCCACACAGTGATGATGTTCATCTATTGTGGGTTCACCTGGAGGGTTCCAGGCGGCCTCACTCATGTCTGGCACCTTGGCAGGGCTGGCTAGGAGCCTGGGCTCAGCTGGGACTGTTGACCAGATTGCCTGCACAGGGCCTCGCCAATGTGTTGGACTTCTTATGTGACAGCTCAAAGCTCCCAGAGAGAGCATCCTAAGAGACAGGAAGTTGGAGACCTCAAGTTGTTTGTTTCTTGGAGGTCTGGGCCTCAAAACTGGTACAGCAACATTTCTGCCATATTCTATTGGTCAAAGCAGTTCCAAAGCCTGCCCAGATTCAAGGATAGGAGCAAAGATCCTGCTTCTCAATGGAAGGTAGGTACAAGTATTCGCAGCCATCTCGAACTCTCCACAGGTGTCTTGCACTTAATCAGTATCCAGTAAATGTTTGTTGAATGATTCACGGGTTTAGTTCGGTTCTAGATACTGAAAAATAAATGAGAAACACATTGAGTTTCTAGGTGTTTCTAGAACTGAACTCCTTTCTTCTGAAAAGGAGTTCAAAATGAATACACAGATTTAGGACACAGGATCTGATTGTACGTTAGCAAAATAAAAGTGGAGTTTACTTCAAAACATGAAGGAAGAAAGTCAACCACTCTTCTTCCGCATTTCCTGTACTGTACCAGCGGTTTGAATTGGTAGATTGCTTTTTTGGTATTAACTTGGAATTTCTCCAAGATCCAAGCTGATTACTCCCTTCTGTCCTAGAGACAGGAAAACAAAGCCAGATAAGAGTGAGTTACAGCCTAAATATAAGCTTCCTCGGCAAGTCTTCAGTGAAGGAGGTAAAAAGCAGCTGGAAAATGCCCCAGGGAGAGTCTCATTTTTTGAAAGAAAAGCAGTACCTGACAGGTGTCGTTTCCAAGGCGTCTAGCAACTCCCTTTACAAATGAGGCAACACTGAAGTCTTGATGAGGCGTTCTCTCCTGCTGGTGACATTTTTATTGACAGCATGGCTCTAACAAGTTTGGAAAGTCATCTCATTGTCATTCAGAATGAGTGGGGCCCCAAAGAAAGGAATGGATTTAGAGCTGGTCTTGAAGTTTTCCATCAGATGCTGGCTCTAACTGATACTGCTATGAACCCTCGAGCATCCTGGGCAACCCACATAAAGCCAAATAATTGCAGTGACAACTCCCATTCATCAAAAGGAGAATGGAGTAACTTCTGCTTGTCCTGATAATGACTTGAAAATGATAAGTTAGTGGAAAAAAAACACTTAGGAAGACTTTTCCTTTTCACCTCAGCTAATTGGCCACTTCATTTGTAAGGGAGCCTTGGCTTTCTTTTAAACTAGTTTTTCACTTCAGCTACTACAAGACTCTGCCTAGACTAGATAATCTTAAATCTTCTCTGGATGAGGCTAGACTGCACTAGTGTTAAGACAAGTTATTTGAACATGAATTTCACAGCCCTTCCATGCCGTGCCTTGCAAGACCTTTACCGACCATGAAAGTAAACACTAAACAAATCCCATCTTGTAAGAGAAATAAATGTGGGCTGAAAGGAACTTAGCCTGTGCATCTAATAAAAATCAATAACCTTTCCAGAAATATAATATATTGAATAATATGCCTGCTGTTTTCACCTGAATCTGTAAGGGAAATTTCTGTGGTACCTCTACCACAGGAAAAATCAAGATCTAATGGTTTTTGCTTAGTGAGTAAGAAAAGCATGAAAAGTTTCTGCTTATGTTTACAGAGAAGAAAAGGCATTACAGGTCTGTGTGGGAAAGACCAATGCAAATTTAGCAAGCCAGATAATAGCTGGGCGAACCTGATTTTTACCGTAATGGCGGTGTTGCTCACGTACATGGCAGGTCTTGATTGGCTGGCCTACGAATAACCTTTTTTGACGGTGTAAACAGGGCAAACAAGTGACTTCACTGGCTCCAAGTGAGTGATCAGAAGCAGTTATCCAGCCCATACTTATATTTATGCAACTCCTTTGCAAAAACTCTCCTTGCCTTTTCTCTCTCACAGAGAGGTAACTTGACTTAAGTTCCATCCTTGTGGTAAGGGCAAGACTTTAAGGGACTATCACCTGAACCAGTTGCACACTGCTCAAATCCTTGGGAGTTAGTTAACTCAGACCATGCATTCTTTACCATCCAGGCAAGCAGACCCCCTAACACATTCCAACTCAAGAAAAAGAGGGCATTGCTCAATCAACATGGCTCTCACAGATACAGCTCCATATTGCCCCTGGATTTCTGGACTTGGTTGTCCTGATCTCAACCGTATCCAGGTTTACAAGAGATTTTTCCACAGCACATCAAAACCTGCCAAACCAGACTACGTTGTGTGGCATGGTGGGATGGCTAAATGTGGGGATTTGGCACTGAATTGCATGGGATGGAGCCAGGCTCTGCTACTCCCTTGCTATTGTAACTTGAAGGAAGTTCCGATCCTTTGTCTCTTCCTTCTGTGTCTGTAAAATGAGGAGCATAATGGTCATGGGGATTATGAGCAAATGGCATACAAATGGCTTTCTGAAGTATCTGCATATGTTAAGAGCTCAAGAAATATTAGCTCTCATTATGATTTCAGTTGCCAGCTCATGATCTTCACTTTGGCTGCCAAAATGGGTGGGAATGGGAGTTCCTAATGGCAAGATGCTCTTTCACAGTCTAATTTCACTCAGTGACTAAACTCGGGCCCTGATATCAAAACAAAAATGTTTTCGTGGACAATAAACATGAAATATTCTTTTATCAACCACATTTTTTACCCGTTGAAGTAGAAAATAATTCCTTGCAAAGATAACTTAATTTTTGTAAAAGCATATTAAAATCTGGTCATAATAATAACACATGTGCTCCTCCCATCCCTACACTTCATAAGCAAAAATTTTTACAAAGTGATGGCGGGGGTTCTTCCGAGGTCATGTCCAGCACACCAGGCTGACACATGTGTTCCACCAAATCTGTGTCTACAACATGCAGTGAGGTACAGTTTAACAATCCCACTGGCAGGCGGGCTAAACAGGTCTTAATTCATCAGCATTCTTTGATTGGGCGCTTGGATTGAATACAGATTCAAACTGATTACCCAGGCTAGTTCAGCTCTCCTCCAACTTTTTGTTCTCACCTACATCTGTCAGAGAAAATGGTCCATATTTATGTCATGGAGAATTTCTCGTTTAGGACATAGCATGTCAAAACTTTGGGAATGTCAGGATCTTTCAAAATCTCTGGGTATTACACTTCCCGTGGAATAGCTGAAAGCTATGCACATTCGCAACCTGACTGCTTTTAACCCTTCACACTGAGAAGGTGATGTCTGGTTATAAAGCAGGAGAGATTTCTCACACCATATGAGAAATATTTACCATGCCCAGCAGCCACTGCTAGCCTTTGAGCTGCTCTGGGAAAAGTGTGAAAGACGGGAGCCAAGGAACCGAAATTCAACTGCCAACCTCTGTAGTAGAAAAGATTTACCCCTTGGAAAATGTGGGCTATCACTGTAGAGAGCCACCTCTTAATGGCTTTCAACTCTGCAGAAATTGTTGTCAGGGAGACTGAAGCAAGTGCTTGTTATGCAGAGGCCATCTTGTCAGTTTGCTCGGCCAGAGAGAGGACTCGTACAAGTTACTGGTTTCCACATCGCATTTATCCAGGCTCCATCATAATCGATATGCAATCGAACATACAAAAGACCTGATCTTGCCCAATAATGATAGATCTGCAGAGTGGGCCAGAGGAGCCTCACAATCAACTCTCCAAGAAAATGCAGGCATCTCTCCCTGGAAGTAGGGTTGTTGGCACAAAACGCTGTGAATTGTTCCATAGTCTTACGCTTCCTTTCTCTGAATCCGTATAGCACTCATTATCCGTACCACTCAATTTAGCACTTGATTATATACTGTCTCGTATTGTTCTCTAATTGTTTCTCCACCCAGATAAGAGGTGGAGTTTCGTGAAGACATCATTTTTTCCTCCCTCACGTGATTTCTATAATTGTCTAGAGCTGCTTCCCTTAAACCTCTGTCTAGTAATTTTTCTTCCATCATGCTGTGGTCTTCACATCCACTTAGGTGGGGAGAAATAAAAACATCAGCTACCACCCCCAGAAAAACACAACTAATGGAAAAACAAAGAGCACCTGAACACAAAATGCACACCTAACAACATGTCACGTGGAAAAATATTTCTATGGGTAAGAAATTCAGGAAACATTTGTTCTGACAGCCACTAAACATCTTAGCCTCGTCCGAGTGCACATTTACAAAAGTCTCTTCATGGCCGGGTGCGATGGTGCGCGCCTGTAATCCCAGCACTGTGGGAGGCTGAGGCAGTGAGACCATCCTGGCCAACATGGTGAAACCCCATCTCTACTACAAATACAAAAAATTAGCTGAGCATGGTGGCATGTGCCTGTAGTCTCAGCTACTCGGGAGGTTAAGGCGGGAGAATTGCTTGAACCCGGGAGGCGGAGGTTGCTGTGAGCCAAGATTGGGGCCCCTGTACTCCAGCCTGGCAACAGAGCGAGACTCCGTCTCAAAAAAAAAAAAAAAAAAAGTAAAGTCTCTTTACTCTTCTAAGTCTCCCTATCCTTTTCAACAGGGGAAAAAGTTTTTAAAACAATGACAATGCAACATCCTGAGACAGAGCTCCAACTTACCTCTGGATCCTCTGGATTAAAGTTAGCATCATATACTCCACATCCATTGCTCAGGGAATTGGCTGCTTCAATGCCATCTGCAGAAGCGACCCAGCACTTCCGTTTCTAGAAGGAATATAATACAGCGCCCCTCATCATGGCAAAAACAACCATTTTCAAGTGCTTTTGGGAAACCAGATGATTTTTGCTACCCAGACATTCTGTGAAGGACAGAATCAGCCTCTTCATGAATTCCTTTTTAAGTCTGCAGGGTGGGTTCGTCCTTCAGCCACCCCTGGATGCCATCTACACAGCCCTGGCAAGCTCTCCATGTGCCCTGGAGGAGCAGGCAGCAGGTGCTGTGCAGGAGACTCTCCTGTATCTCTAGAGATCATTTCAGCTTCTCACCAAGTTTCCGTGAAGTTCAATGCACTTTTAAAAGGGGGAAAGAGTTTCTTCACCAAATTCCTTGCAGCTCTGTCTTCACAAAGGATCTGTAGACAGGCAGGCAGGTACCTCAAAAAGAATGCCCATATCCCTGTCTTTTGGCAGAACCATACACTTAAGCAGAGCAGAAGAGTGAGGCTTTATACTATTTTAAAACTCTTCAAAGAAAATAATTCCATAACCTCCTCCCAGTTCACGGTTCACCAACTGGCCGCCTGCATTAGAAAATGACTCTCTGTGCTGCATGATTTGCGTTTCAACAACATGTGCTCAGGGTGCTCCGCCTGCTGCCCTCTCCCCTGCCATGCAGGACCAGGTAAACTGCAAAATGAAAAGGCAAGGCCACTTGTTAAAAAACACAAGGTGAAAACTTTCAAGGGGGCAACAGCAGAGCGTCAAGTCCAGGACGGCCCGGTCCCAGGATGGCCCTTGTGACTGGTCTTGCGGGAGACCATGGATGGGTGGGGGTCTGGTCCTTGCAAGCCCCTTTGAGCCCATCTCTGTCACATCACCTTGTTTTACTTCTTCATAGCACGGTCTTGTTTTGTTGTCATGTATTCGTAGCACTTGCCAGAAGACTCTTATCTATGCCTGTCCTTTAATACATAGAATCTTCTTGCTTCAGCTCAAATCTTACTGGTTAAGAGAAGCAGACACCCCTGCATCTACTTTAAGAGGAGCTGACTATGGGATCTGGGCTGGACCAAGACAACATCTAGAACAGAAGCTCACGTGCGCTCATTTTTTTCTCTCTCTCTTCCTCCACTTTCCCTTTGGCTGAAGCTCTGTTCTGCTAACACAAGCCTTTCAGATTACTCCTGTCACTTTCTTCTCATAGCTTTGACTTTCACACGGCCCCCTGGGTCCTGACTCTGCCCCATGACCTTTCAGCTGAAGACCCCACTGCTAGCACCCCTACTCAATATTCTTTAGTCCAAATTCCCAAGAGTGGCCCCAAGTGACCCAGCCATCTTCCTACACCAGGTCACAAGGAGCTGACCAGGCCTATGGATTGGCTACGTTTGGATCAGATGTCATTCTTGCTCCAGCTAACTTCTTTTTGGAGGGGGATCAGGTCATGTGATACATAACTTGACTGTCCAGGGCATGTGAGCAGAGTAACCCCATTGAATAAATGAGTTTATGGATGGGAAGGCATCTTACACGATCGCTTTACAGTGTTCAGTTCCTCTATTTCCCCAGTGGGGTGGGCATTATTATCCTCATTCTGCAAGTATGAAGCTTGAGGACCAGAGAGTTTAAACAATTTGCCCAAGTTCCCAACGGTGACAAGTGTTCGAGGCAGAAGTCAGGCACAGCTGAGACTGCAAAACCCCTACCTTGAAGCT